GTGTCTGAGATTACATGAAGTACACAAGATATACCATGTCATATAATCAATACATTCGGTCCTGTAAGTCGGGATTGGTTTATCAGGGTTGGGGACTACATTGATTAACAACGATCTTACACTCCTACCTTGAAGTCAGGGGATAAATAATGATATCCCACTCCCACAAGATCAGTCGGTGATATTTGACGTTCTGGATATGCCGGGGTTTAATCAAAAGCTGGCTGTAATTGCTTGTCTTTCTTTGAAGCCGTTTCGCGGTTAAACATCTGAATCGGTGGAGCAATAGATGCTAGGGCGATTCAATACACGTGTATTTGATTTCAAACCTGTGCATATTTACTTGTTTCATTGAATTCTGTCAATGTGCAGCAAATCAAACGCGGCGTTATTACCCCGAATGCTTAATGATTATGTTTGGAATTCTTTATGACGAATAACTCGAGTGATTACAACAAAAAGTAATAACGGTCCGGCGTTGACGTTCGTGGCTGACTCTGAAGCTCTGTTACGCTAAAACTAAACTGACGGACAAAAGAAAGGTACACGTCGGTGTTTCCTGGTGGCTCAAAATGATACAGACACGAAATGGCTATTCGGGGTGCATTTGTTACGGATATCACAGCTGTATTTTGGGTCTTAAGCAGTGTTTCGGTAACATTTCAGCCAAGTTAAGTTTTGAACATTTATATAATTTGGGGGTCAAATCCTTTTTTTCAGGTGTATACCTTCTTTTGTCCTGCAGTAATATCGCCACTTTATGCTGAAAGGCTGGGTGCCAGTGCTTGATACTGAGATATACCGAGGATAGTGCGATGTATTATTTTGTCCGGATACTGCAGGTACCGATCTCTTTATCTGTACTTCGAGTCAGTATCAGTCCAGCTGGCTCTACAGATCGTGCGTTCGGAAGGGAATTGCTGAAAGTGCTGAAAGATTCACATAGCATTTTCTACCTCTCAAATTAGCTCCAAAATAAGATTATCTACTTCCAGATACGTTTTATTTTATTTCGTTTGAAATTAAAATTACAATTATTTTAACCAAAGTTCACTTTCTGTAAACTGGTAATTACGGATTATGGAGCTTTCATATAATTTCATGTAATTGATAAAAGCCCATCTATTTCCGAAAAAATGTTCCATTACAATTAATTAATCTATTTTAAAGTAGCTTTAACAAGATTTATCCACAATTAATCCGATTTTCCTGCTTACAATATATTTGTAAGAAATTTTCAGCTGTAAGGAAATGGTATCTTTAGACCTATGGGTACGGCCGTGTCATTGTATACAATTACATGCTTACTGTGTAATGTAGTGAGTTAACAGTGAGACGAGGACGTCCTGCACCGTATGTCCCGTTGCCCGTGGAACTAGCAAGAGACAACACTGTCTTCGTTGTATCTATGTCTAAAGCACGATCATTTTGCAAGAAGGCTCCGCTAACGTTTACACAGAGGCAGCATTGTGTTGCGTGATCCTTGCTTTCCTGGAAAGAAAACCTCATGGAGTTGTGCCAACGTAATGCCGTCATTTCCATTTATCTCCAACTATGACCCACTCAACTGTGTGTAAAAACAGCTGATTTTTAATAGTGCCTCACACACCGGCTGATGTGAACGAGGCTGAGGTGATTACAGAAGACCGCCGCTGGCAAACTTACAGGGATCAAAGTCCTTCAGTGAAAATCCTGATGAGTTCGACCCCCTTCCGTGCGTCGGCCGCGCCCCCGGCTATACGCAGTTAAGAGGAGGAGTAAACTGGCTAGGGTTCGAGATGAGTTCGACCCTCCTCCACTGCCTCCAGATTACAGACAATCCCGGTTGGAGGTTTTTTCACGACGGTCATTAATAGTTATTAGTGTAAGGTTGAATATGTTCAGGATATTTCTTTGTTCTACTGAAAGTCCTTTGAAATGAGTAATGACTCACTGGCTCGGATTAGAGAAAACGTAAAAAAGGGCTATGCTTTAGAATTTCATTATATTCCCAAAGTTTCTGAAGAAACGCAAACTTTTGATTGATTTGGATACCAGTTAGCTTAAATCTTCCTTTCAACTTTTAACCGTTAACCGAACTTTCATTATCCCTGGCTGCCCAATTGTCTATTACACCGCTATTCCCTTTGCTGAGTTACCTCCCTTAGCCATGTCAGGACACGAAGATCCTTATTCTGAGGCGTTTGTTCAACACTGTTATTAAGGTAACTAAACGACAAACAATCAGCTGACTGGCAACTTCCAATCTGTACCCTTCGCTAATAATCCAACATTATCTAGGGGATAAATTACAAGTTATTACCAGGTTGCCGCGGTGCCATGTGTTGACCCCGGGGAATCAGTCAGCCCAACATGTAGCCCATCTACGTGATGATTAACAACCAACGCACGGATATACGAATCGGTCAAACGTAAGTTCCAGTACTCACGGGGCGGTTGGGTAGCCTAGTGGTTAAAGCGTTCGCCGAAGACCCGGGTTCGATTCCCAAAATGGGCACAATGTATGAAGCCCATTTGTGGTGTCCCCCGCCGTGATTTTGCTGGAATATTGCTAAAAATGACGTAAAACCGTACTCACTCACTCACTCACTCCAGTACTCAGGCCAGTGAGCGTTGACCAACAGCACTAGTGGGTTACCGTTATTCTGGGAACTGGGCACAGGTGACATGTTTCAGACAGAGTGATGGAGTGGTAATCAGCAGCTGTTTGAGGACGACGTTCGACGTTGACGGAAGTGTCTTTGTGCAACGGCACAGCGTGTAAACGATGGGATATGGTATTTCTGGCTTTTGTTGTGCACGTTTTGTCCTCTAAAATGCACTTGAAAGGGCAGGCAGATTTTTTTTATTGTCTCTTTACGCAGTAATTATTTCTTGAGGCAGTTATTGCAAGAGGAGGCACTCCGAGGATTGTGGCGAGAGTTTTGCAGTGTTGAGCGGCCTGCTGATTACGCTTGAGCAACATGGCTGAGAGACGCAAGGCATCAGAGTGCCTGAAATATATAATCAATCACTCTTGTTGTAACACAACTTATATTTAGGACCACCTCATAACCATAACATCTTCAAACAAACTTCAAATATTGAGTAAGGTCATGGTCACCATAACATGGACAAGTGTGGGTGTATTGGCAGCTATACACGCAGGGCGTATTTGCAGTTATAGATGCAGGGCGTATTTGCAGTTATAGATGCAGGGCGTATTTGCAGTCATAGATGCAGGGCGTATTGGCAGTCATAGATGCAGGGCATATTGGCAGCAATACATGCAGGGAATATTGGCAGCAATACATGCAGGGCATATTGGCAGCAATACATGCAGGGCGTATTGGCAGCAATACATGCATGGCGTATTGGCAATCATAGATGCAGGGCGTATTGGCAGTCAAAGATGCAGGGCATATTGGCAGCAATACATGCAGGGCGTATTGGCAGCTATAGATGCAGGGCATATTGGCAGCAATACATGCAGAGCATATTGGCAGCAATACATGCAGGGCATATTGGCAGCTATAGATGCAAGGCATATTGGCAGCAGTACATGCAGGGCGTATTGGCAATCATAGATGCAGGGCGTATTGGCAGTCAAAGATGCAGGACGTATTGGCAGCTATAGATGCAGGGCGTATTGGCAGTTATAGATGCAGGGCGTATTGGCAGTCATAGATGCAGGGCGTATTGGCAGATATAGATGCAAGGCATATTGGCAGCTATAGATGCAGGGCATATTGGCAATCATAGATGCAGGGCGTATTGGCAGCTACAGATGCAGGGCGTATTGGCAGCTATAGGTGCAGGGCATATTGGCAGCTATAATTGCAGGGCGTATTGGCAGCTACAGTGCGGGCATATTGGCAGCAATACATGCAGGGCGTATTGGCAGCTACAGGTGCTGGGCGTATTGGCAGCAATACAGGTGGCAGCTTCAGATGCAGGGCGTATTGGCAGCAATACATGCAGAGCGTATTGGCAGCTACAGATGCAGGGCGTATTGGCAGCTATAGATGCAGGGTGTATTGGCAGCTACAGATGCAGGGCGTATTGACAGCTATAGATGCAGAGCGTATACGCAGCTACAGATGCAGGGCGTATTGGCAGCTACAGATGCAGGGTGTATTGGCAGCTACAGATGCAGGGCGTATTGACAGCTATAGATGCAGGGCGTATTGGCAGCAATACATGTACATGTAGGGTGTTTGGGCAGCAGTACATGCAGGGCGTATTGACAGCTATACATGCAGGGCGTATGCAAACAGCTTATGTTGACAGATAATAACTGAGGAAGGATTTTAACAAGCAGACTGTCAGGACACCAACCAACGTTTCAGACTGGAGAATAGTGATCAGACAAATAAACCGTGGTCACAGAGTTTTGGTAAGGGAACTGCTTACAGGAGACGGTTTTGTGAAATGACTTTGGTTCGCACCAACAGCGAATATATACTTCATATAATTACTCCCAGCAGGCGGTGTTACAGGTTAATGAAGCGGAAGTTCCGCCTCACGTAATAGATTGCTAGAGGATAGGTTGTTTCAGTGTCCTATATTATCTCTCGTGTATTTAGCATTCAACAGAAACTGTTAGAACGTTTCTCAATTACGTCTCCCACGTCACTCAAAAGGTAAGACCAGTTTTTAAAAAATAATAATTGCAAGACATATATAAACAGTGCGATGTTATTAATTATATGTGCGAATTAAGCTGAGTTTACACTTTGAGATGTTTTAAGTCTGTTAGTAATTTCAATCGATAACCATTACATAATTCCCCTAAGCAGCGCTTAGTTACATCCCATTACTCATTACGTCTATTCTTGGGTAGGGCTCTGGCAACCGGTGCATTCAGATCACACATGGCCTGGGTTCGAATCCCGTGATGTGTACAGTGCGTGAACCTAAAACCATGATGATGGTGTAAATCCAGCCTCTAAACTACAGGGATAGTGTGTTGCATCAATTAGTATCCGTTTCTTACTGTGTTAACATGATATATATTTCAGAGCATGCAGTAAGCAAGGATGTCCTCACTTGACAGTCCCCCGCATGAGGAGGTGGTGCTCTCGGAGTCTGGAAACATGTTCCCGGCGGCTGTGGTGTGGAAGGTGAGGCAACACCACCGAGATTGTGTTTCTATGACGCTGTTGATGAAAGGTTGATCTTCCCCATGGATGTTAAAGTGCAGAATAGGTCCCCAGTAACTCTTACTTGTCACATAATGCTGCCTGTATGTAGTAATTGTAGTCACACAGTGTGGCCTTAATATCTGGAATTATCCCCATAGGAGCTGATCGCTCATCGTCTGCTCAAATGGCAATACACCGCCTCAATAACACGTCGTATCGTTTCCAAATACTGATTTGTACCATGGGTCTGTAGCCCCACAGTACCTATGAGAATATAGAATGGAATATCGGGTTTAGAACTAGCGAACTCTCACCTGCACTGTATGTGTAGGAGGTACTGGGGACCTTTCTCATTTGGGATCACAGTAAGGATAAGGAGTACTGTTCGTTTGCTTATATTCTAGACGTTCCGTTGGGAGGAGGGGTTAGCCCAGTTGTTAATTGTGTGCTCGTTAAACTAAAGACTGTATATAACGAGGAAAATGCTTGCCCTCGTCGCCTGTAGCTCGACTGTTGCCTACCACAAAAGGCAAAGTGAAAGCCTCCTCACTCACCCACCCACCCATTCATCCACTCACTCATCCACTCACTCACTCACTCCACCCACTCACTCACTCACTCACTCACTCACTCACCCACTCACTCACCCACTCACTCACCCACTCACTCACTCACTCACTCACTCACTCACTCACTCACTCACTCCACCCACTCACTCACTCACTCACTCACTCACTCACTCACTCACTCACTCACCCACTCATCCACTCACTCACCCACTCACTCACCCACTCACCCACTCACCTACTCACTCACTCACTCACTCACCCACTCACCCACTCACTCACCGACTCACCCACCCATCCACTCACTCACTCACCCACTCACCCATGCACTCACTCATCAACTCACCCACGATATAGCAGAAGTGACTGAATATTTCGAGTAAAGTATGTTGTGTTGCAGGTGAACCTCCTCATCGCCTTCACCATCTGGATCATCCTGATGAACGGACTCCTGGTCCTGGGGCTGCTCAAACGGAAGGACCGTCGCAACAACACCTACAACTTCCACATCATCAACCTTGCCATGACCGACTTCCTGTTTGGCTGCACTGTACTTCCGGTGAAGGTGGACATGTTTGTAAATGATGAGTGGAACTTTGGCGCGGAGATCTGCCAGTTCTGGCTCATGATCGACAAGCTCCTGACGACGGTGTCCATTCTCATTGTGTTGGTGTTGGTTGCAGAAGGATCTGTTGACTTAGCTATCCCAGACCTCAGTCCAGGGTCCACACTGCCTCTGTGGGCTGTACTCATCGCCGGACCATGGATCATTGGAGCAGCGTTCATCATACCATTCTTCCTGTTGCGGGCTGACTTCAGCAACATACCTGACTGCAGGGCACAGTTTTCCGATCTGGAGTTTGTCATTCCACTTGTCACGTTCATAGTTCCAGCCGCCGTGGTGCTGTGTCTCGCGCTTGTTATAATAATCATGTTGTTCCTACAGCGACCCCCGGCGGCAATCATACATTCTCAGGAACGGCGTAAGACGGTGCGACAGCAGACAACAGCGTCGTGTGTGATCTCCGTAGTGTTTGTTCTTATGTGGGCGCCGTATGGCGTCACACAGTTCTTGTCAAGTCTGAACCTGGGTAGTCATCCTTCCTTCAGCCTCATGCTATGGGTCGCCTACGCAAACTCCGCCATTACGCCTCTTCTGTGGCTCATCCTCCCTGACGTGAGACGCGGGTTCCGAGACATGTGCTGCTGCTGCTGTTACTGTTGCTGCAGATCAAGTGACCCAGAGTCAATGCCGCGACTGGACGGGTCCAGCATGAGAGTGATAGAGAACAAGTACTTTGTGTCGGGCAGACTGAGCAATATCCAGGAACATGAGAGTCAGACATTTGTGTGACCCCTCAAGGTCATGTCCAGCAAGGTCATGAACCCCGTGTACAGGGCTGTACACCTATACCGACTATTGTGAATCTGTGTTGTGAGAAGCTTCTATGATGGATCTTACACTATATTGGCTGGCATGTTGTGTATGTGACTACACACCCCTACGACGATCGCTCGTCACGTTTTGTATCCTCGAATGTGTCACTGTTGTCGTGCATTACAATAAGATGTGTTGTGAGTTGTGTGAGTGTTAGATCAATTATGCATGTAACTTCTAAAACTACAACGACACACAGACGAGCGGACATGCAACAGCAGACCAACCGGTCTGTCGACTCCGTGGTGTTGTGGACAACAGCAGACCAACCGGTCTGTCGACTCCGTGGTGTTGTGGACAACAGCAGACCAACCGGTCTGTCGACTCCGTGGTGGTGTGGACAACAGCAGACCAACCGGTCTGTCGACTCCGTGGTGGTGTGGACAACAGCAGACCAACCGGTCTGTCGACTCCGTGGTGTTGTGGACCTGGGACTCATGTCATATTAACCGATACAGTTGGTACAGTTGGTCCGACCCATTTAATGTGCACCTCGGCGGGAAGCCCGTTTCGGACTATCGTAAATCACAAGGGTTTGATGGATGTTATAAGGTATGAGGATCATACGTCAGTACATATATCAAGCCACCTAGTTACTCCGACCATGTGTAAACACAAAAACTCTACCTAGTCTCAACACACAGACTTTTGTCAATCCGGACAGTTTCACCTCAATCGGTAGCATCCGGACAACGAGGCTTTACTTTGTAGTGAAAGAACAAATCCGTTGAACTTTTCCCTCAGAAAGAACCACATCAGGTTAGCGGGTTAGAATAGTTCCGATATTTTTACATGAGGCACTTCGTGGATTGGATGGTCAAGCTAGTTGACTTTGTCGTCGTATCCGGATTCCATTGATCGTGGCTCATAACATCAATCACTGGATTGTAGAGTCGCAATTACTTACAGCAAACAAACAAAAGAGATAAAATCATAGATTTCAGGCCACCATCTGCCGGTACCCTTGCTCCTGCGAACGTAATGAGCTCCTCCCTGCCCGTCTATACCTCAGTATGTGCAGATGTCTGTGGCGAGCATCACTGCACAGACATCATATCAGCATTTGAGTGAGACTCTTATTACTGGGTTCGATGAGTGCGACATGTACATTTGCCGTTTATATTATTTATTCATCGACGACAGTGCACGATTACTACATTAAAGTTGTTATTTAGCTTTTTAGTAAAATGGTGGATTACTATATTCAGTAGTTTTGTGGTCTATGGTGGACACCATGCTGGTGCCAGGTCACGTGACTGTCACATGACACAACTGGACCTGCCAGTAAGGTGGTGTTTCGGTTATGTATACATGTGGGGATGATGCACGTGAAACCGGAAACACGAACGATCATCATAAAGGATTCGTACCCCAGGTTATAAGATCCTGATTAGCCAAAGGATCGCAACTCTGTACAATACTTTTCGTTGCAATAACCGGCACTCACGCCCAATGGGACCTTAGAACCTGATAATATATTTCAGTTGTTTATTCAGAAATCAGTGTCTGCATAATTTCTGTCCAAAATGCATTATCCTTTCAACATAATCGCGCTTGAGATTGTTCGAACTCGACCCTACAATTAGGAAGATCCCGTCCCGTGCAATGGCAGTACCCCATTGCTGCCCGAAGTGTTGTTTTGATGACGGACCTAGCCGAGTGGAGCAGAGTGGATGTAAAGGACTTACTCAGTTCACATGGGGAGAGAGACACAATCTCGCTGCTGAGGAGATCAAGTCAATAACTGTAAGAAGAATTTTGCACCTCCTCGAGCTGTAGCATTACATAACCTTGCTCAGAAATTCCACTAAATGATACGTCCAAGGATAGTAATTCTGTCCTTGTAATAGGCAAGTGTTTTTCTATAGGTGCAGCCTGTTCTTATGATTTATATTACCTAAGCATACTATTTCAACTGATAATTATTGCATAAGATACTTACTTGTGCCCATCTCTCCGCAATCATATACATGTATATAAATTATATACCAATTTCATGGGTTCTGGATGAGACGGGGAAGAAGATACATTATATAAACGTCCAGAGTGAGTGAGCTGGGTTAATCGCCACACTGAACTTTATACTTGTTGTGTCATCGGTGGCAGTTTTCAAAGGTTCAGTTTACGCAGGTCAGGTGGGGTAGTTTAGCGATTAAAGTCGCTGTCAAGACCAGGGTTCGAATCCCCACATGGATACACCGCAGTGATATTGTTGGACCACTGCTGACTCACTCAGTTTACGCAGGACGTGACTTTGGGGGTATCTGCGAGACAGGTGATGATGATAGAGCAGGGACACTACACATCTAGGGGGCGTAACTCTGCAGGTGTTGATAAAACAGGGACAACGCACGTCTAGGGAACGTAACTCTGCATAGCGAACTGCGACCCAGGAGACCACAGGCAAGATGCACATTTATTCAATTTATGCACTACATATTTCCGCTAACATGCATCTGATGTATGCATCTAATGGCTAACATACTTTATAAAGTACAAATTATACATGGACTATACATATAGCTGGGCCATCGACTGGGGAAAGTCTGACACATGGGAATTACAAATTAGCAACACATGTTATATATTATCTACACAGAACTGAGTGAGATTGACGCTGGCATTTTGTTGCTACGTTTAGTTCATATCTGAGGTAGTGCAGCTACAAAGAGGCCGAATCTAAATCTGCAGAGTTGCGTCCCTTGTTCAGGGCGAGTCTTTTGTAGGTTCGACTCCTGGGCCCAGATTTTCGAAGCTCTTTTAGCGCTAAGATAGTCGTAAGTGCCATACATTAAAATTAACTTACGACTATCTTAGCGCTAAAAGAGCTTCGAAAATCTAGGCCCAGGATCCGTCCACATTACCATCGTCTGTCTACCAGCACCATGTTGTTAACGTCACCGTCTGTAACATTTGCAGCGTTCCCCGACGTCAGACTGATACGCAGCGTTATAAACCGTTCAAATCAGGATTAAACAGCGTTAACCACAACTCACTGTCTCATTATTACTTGTTTACACGGCAGTTGTTTTTTTTTACTGCTATTGTAATAAGATGGCGGCGCTTGTCTCGCTCAGTTCTCGCGTGTCTACATGAAATCACTGGTTTACTACCTCTGATTCAACTGGAGGTTTGTACGTATGGCTGGGGGTGTGATAGAAACCCTAACATATGGCGCCACTAGCGCAAATCACTATTACCAGATCTATTTACGAATACATACTTCTTATAAATATCCCAACCTGTCATTTGACGTATACCATGAAAGACATGAAATTAATTTCCTTTTCAGCTCGCGTAGCACTACTGCTGAACAACGAGGAGCGGATCACTAAGTATTTCGATTTGATCTATGGATGAATGGGCGTCCCTCACGACATTCTCCCATCGTCCTAGCGGCTGCTGTGATAATCATCACTCTCCAGATCGATCTATTAGCATACAGGAAACACGACGTGTTCTGCTAACTCAATAATTTAAACTCATCTTCCGAGAAGTTGCATTAATCCCGCAGTGAGCTGACACATATGACTGATCACGTGCTCACCATGGCAACGTTACACCCAGGAAGAAGAAACACGACCTCTATGACTGGCTTCCGAACTCCTCACTCTGGTTACAGTGCGCTAATTTAACACTGTGTATTGTGAGCACGAATTCAGGTTCTGGCTCTATCCGCGGGATCGTACACGTTTTGGTCGATGTATTGAATGATTTAAAATAACGCATGTTAAAGCGTTCTCGGTAAACACTGTATCCGATACATCGCAGCTCTACCAGCACTACTAATACACACGGGACAAAAGTTAAAAAAATAATATCGTACAATCTGCGATAACACAAACAGGCGCTTTGCTTTCTGAGTGTCAGCATTGACTCTTGTTTCATTTTCAATCGGAATGTTCAAGTAACTGAATTGTTAAACCGCCAAAGGTTTTACGGGATATACAGGCCCATTTTCTGCTTAGTTTCAAACACTGTAATTGATTCCTACTGTGAAAATGGAAAAGAAATGGTTTATATGCTAGATTGATCTCGATCAGGAAACTCGAGTTAGCGGACAATAAGGACAGTGGTTGTTCGAATGACCTGGAGCAAGCCAGCTATGGCTGCAAATGTCCCATAGTTTAGCCTATACGTTAACCCCTCACGGACGTGTGGCGACATTTGAGGGATGTGGGTAGTACTTGCAAGTTGGATTTAAGTCCTCAGACACCAATGTGTGTGTCTCCAGAGCGATATTTCTTATGCGTATCAGTTTAACCATAGCTGTTAAATTGCCGTCTCTGTTTTAGGCGGATGTACATTACAAACCTGAACCTATTCAGAACATAGATATCAGAAACATTCCCGAAGTATGATATTATGGTCATAATGATTATTTTAAAACCAGAACCTGCTCTTGATGTGTACAAACATAATGAGCCATTGACAGGAACAGGAAAATAAACCAGGGTCAGATGTTCCGCTGAAATGTACTTTCTTCCGATCTACTCCCTTACAATTTCCGCAGACAGATGTAAGGTTTCAAGAGGTGGATATAAATAAAGTGTATGTATTTCAACTGACATGCGAAATACTGACAATTGTTTCCGTTCCTATTCTGCTAGCCTCTCGGCTAAATCCATCTGTGTGTCTCTGGTGGACAGGGTGCTGATACAAAATCAATGGCATGATCTTCGTCCCAATCGACTTGACAGGATTACCGCTAATGATGGATGGAGATGAGTTCGCTACACAAGGTCCCAGGTGCCCATGTCAACACTCACGGCAACCAACTGAAGACCTATTGGCGAAGTGTTTGTGGAACCAGTTCTCATTATCATCAGAGATACTTGCTGACCAGTGTCCACGTAACACCCACCATGGTCCATATACTTCATTCCACTATGCCTTAGTTTCTTGGTTCCACTGTGTCAAAACCTTCCTTGTTGTATTTGGTTAAACATCGGTCTAAAAGAATAGACATCTACTTTCCTTGCCCATCAGTATCATCTTATGCGAATGTTATCTTCAACCTCGACCAGCAAGAGTGCAAAACAATAAATCACTTATTTCATGAAATTTCAAAATTTACGTCACTTGGTAAAACTGTTTAGATCTAATTGCTTTGCTTCGGAAACATATGTTTAATAAATGCAGATGAAGAAAGATAACACTGATCTGGACCTTTCATGAGTGTCCAAGGACTATTTTCTATCGCATCCGGGCATTTCCCCCGGCGGTAGGAAATTGAGATAAG